AGAAAACAGAGGCTGCGAGAATTGAGCAATTCAGGCCCATCTATCTTCTTAATGTTAGTTTCAAAATTTTCACCAAGGTCGGGACTAATAGGCTCACACAGATCGCGGATGCTGTTGTGCAGCCTACCCAAACTGCTTTCATGCCGGACAGGAACATTCTTGAGAGGGTTGTGGTCCTTCATGAAACGCTCCATGAAATCCACACGAAAAAGCTGGATGGGGTTGTTTTCAAAGTGGATTTCGAGAAAGCGTACGACAAAGTCAAATGGACCTTCTTTCAACAGGCCTTACGCATGAAGGGTTTTGATGAAGCTTGGCGACGCCAGGTAGAATCTTTTACGCAAAAAGGAAGTGTTGGAATTAAAGTGAATGACGATATAGGTCATTATTTCCAGACACACAAAGGCCTGAGGCAAGGAGATCCAATGTCCCCTATTTTGTTCAACATTATGGTTGACATGTTGGCAATTCTCATAGGTAGGGCAAAGGAGGCCGGTCAGGTGGGTGGCTTGGTGCCTAACCTAGTTGATGGGGGTGTGTCCATTCTACAGTACGCTGATGATACAATCATCTTTATGGAGCATGACTTGGCAAAAGCGAGAAATATGAAGCTGGTGTTATGCTTATTTGAACAATTATCCGGTTTAAAGATTAACTTTCATAAAAGCGAGTTGTTCTGCTTTGGTAGAGCCAAGGAGGAACAAGAGGCTTATAGGCAATTGTTTGGATGTGAATTAGGGGCTTTACCTTTTACTTACCTAGGTACACCCATTCACCATCGTAAGCTAACAAACAGAGAGCGGAAATGCATCGAAGATCGGTTCGAGAAGAAACTTAGTTGCTTGAAGGGCAAACTTATGTCTTATGGAGGCCGGTTGATTCTTATTAATTCGGTGCTCACCAGTATGCCGATGTTCCTACTAACTTTCTTTGAGCTTCCATTTGGGGTTCGGAAAAGGCTGGACTTCTACCGATCAAGATTTTTTTGGCAGAGTGATGAACTAAAGAGAAAGTATAGACTCACCAAGTGGGATGTTATTTGTAGACCAAAGGACCAAGGGGGTCTGGGTATCGAGAATCTTGAGGTCAAGAACAGATGCCTGCTCAGTAAGTGGCTGTATAAGCTATCAGTTGAGGCTGACGCAAGTTGAGCGCAGATTCTCCGTAACAAGTATCTGCATTCCAAGACTTTGTCATAGGTGACAGTGAGACCAACTGATTCGCCGTTTTGGAAGGGGCTTATGAGAGTTAAGGCAGCCTTCTTTAATAGAACAAAGTTTATTGCCGGTGATGGCAACGATGCCCGTTTCTGGGAGGATACTTGGCTTGGTGATACACCATTGGCGCTCCAGTACCCAACCCTGTATCGTATTGTTCAGCGACGTGATGCGCTAGTTGCAACGATTATGCAGTCCATTTCCCTTAATATCCAGTTTCGGAGGGTGCTTGTTGGTGATAGATGGGAAGCTTGGCTTCATCTGGTGTGTAGACTGATGGAAGTTCAGCTAGCTCATCAGCCCGATCAGTTGTGTTGGAAACTTACTAGGTCAGACAATTTACTGTTAAGTCGATGTGCATCGATGTTATTAACTCGAGTGTCATTCCTAGTTCCAAACATGTTTGGAAAGTAAACGTTCCTTTGAAAATTAAAGTGTTTATGTGGTTTGTCCATAAACAAGTCATTTTAACAAAGGACAACTTGGTTAAGCGCAATTGGACAGGATCTACTAGGTGTAGTTTTTGTGACCGGACAAGACCATTAAGCATCTCTTCTTTGAGTGCCCGTTGGCGAGAATTTTGTGGCGCACCGTGCAAATTGCGTTAACATTACTCCTCCGAGTTCGGTCGGTTCATTATTTGGAACGTGGCTGGATGGGATAGAGTCCGATACAGCTAGACACATTCGTGTAGGAGTTTGTGCGTTGTTATGGGCAATTTGAAATTGCAGAAATGATTTGGCTTTTAACAGAATAACTACTGTTTATTTTTTGCAGGTTGTATTCCATGCTACGACGCTGATCCGTATGTGGTCCTTACTCACTCCGACGGAGGCCAGGGAGCATTTGGTTACTGGCTCTGTCCGGTGAGAGATGGTAGCGCGGGATATTTTCAACCGGTTTGGATGGCGGTCATGTAATAGGGTAGGCGATTAGTTTTCCTATCTTTATTATGCCAGCCGGTTGTGGCTTTATGGCCTTTTCTTGTTTTGGCGTTAAGGCTCTATGTGAGCTCGCCTTTATTTTGTTTCACGACTTTAAGACATTGTTGAACCTATTTTATTTATAAATATGGCCGTATGCATCGTTCTGATGTAGAGGCCCGGGAGTCCCCTTTTCGGAAAAAAACAGGGCACGGCAGGGGCGAACCCATGGGTGCTACGAGTTCCTGGAGATGGTCTCAACACGATGACGCGCTCGGACGCAAGCTCCAGTGGCTAAAACGACGGCGGTGAGATTTCGGCTCCGGTGGCTAGCGTGGTTAGAAGACGGATTAAACGCAGGTGAGAGAGGGGAACTACGTAGGGGAGGCATTCGAGGTGTTGAACGGGCGCCGAAGGTCTCGGCCGTCCGAGGCTGAAGAGGAGCACGAGGACGTCGCTGCAGTGCGCCAATTGTTGTTTTTATTTAAATCCTTGCCACTGTTTTAAATCCAAACTAAACTGAAAACTAGTGCGCCAATTGCCTCTAAATATTTTTTATGTTGCTCATTGGACAATTCCAAATGCACATAAAATATTCCGGGGATTTTGAACTTATATTCCAATTATATGAATATAGATCCAAATGCAAATACAATATGATTTAAATTCAAATGCCCAAAATAATTCCTTAAAAATTTTCTTAAATTTTGGTTTGAATTATAGTTCTTGCCAAATTTCTCAAAGCAACTAAGGGAACATTTTGGAACAATTGAATGATATTTCCAGGGTTATTTGCTTCTTTGATTTAATGTTTTCTGAGGCTTTGAAAATTCCCTCATTTCAATTTCCTTTGAAAATAAAAGGATGCATGATGCTACTCACTAATGTAACTAATTACAAAGCAAATTCTACGGTTGTGACAGTCCCAGTGCATAGGTCGGGTGATTGAGGACTCCGGTCCGCCGTTTGCCATGCCGGAGAAGGCCGGAAATCACCGGAAGGGAGCTTGGGGGTAGAATGGAGTGGCTAGGGTTTTGTTCGTGAAGCGAATGATGATGAATATATATGGGGTCGGCGTGAGCAAGCGTGGACCGAATCTGATGTGGCAGACTCGTCCGGGCCTCCCCATATCCACCACAGATTTAGGTTGGATATATGAGGGTTGTTGGTCAGTCCGGACATTTGAGGCTGGTAAGGGCATCTCCAGCCGGCCCCCCAGGAAGCCTCCCCAAGGCACTTTTTGGACGCCGGCAGTCAAAAACGGTCCCAGTCACGCCCCCACGGGCTTGTTTTTCGCCGGTATTAGCTAAAACTACGGCCGGCGCTGGCAAGAGAAACCCACAAAGCTGGGGGTCAGCCGGGGGTGCCGGCACTACCTTTTGCATGCGAAAACCCCACACGCCGGCCTCTGTCTCCACATCTCTTTCTCTCTCCCCCCGTCGCTTTCTCCGCCCCCACCTCCCCTCTCCCCGTCCACTCTTCTCTCTCTCCCCGGCCAAGCACTACGCCTTGCTGCGCTCCCGCCCGCAGCGTCGCCTCCGCGCCCGGCCGCAGCTCCCGCCCGCAGCATCGCCTTCGCGCCCGGCCGCCCGCGCGCCCCGCCAGCCACTTCTGCGAGGCCCTCTGGAGCTACACTCGCGCCACCATGCCCGACTGCGTCTGCACCACGCGGGACGGCGCCGCCGACGTGGCGTACCTGCGAGGGAGGCAAGGCACGGCGCAGGACGGGGTAGACTGGTGGCAGTGGCGGCGCTGCTGCTGCCGGTGGTCGTGCTGCTGCCGCGGTGTCGGGGCGTCGCGGCGCAGCCCACGCCGCGGAGCGGCGACGGCGACTTTGCCGCGTTGCGAGGGTTCTCGGTCGGTCTTGATGCTCCGGTGGATGGATGGCCGGCCGTCGCTGATGACGATGAGGATGGCTGCTGCGCGTGGCCAGGCGTGGTCTGCGGCCGCGCGGGCGTCGTCGGGGTGGTGCTGCCGAACCGGGGGGAGGTGGCCGCGTCGCTCGCCGGGCTGACGGCGCTCCGCGTGCTCAACCTCTCCGGCAACGCGCTGCGGGGCGCGCTCCCGCCCGGCCTCCTCCGGCTGCACCGCCTCGAGGTGCTCGACGTCAGCTCCAACGCGCTCGCCGGCGCGATCGGGCCCGAGCTCGAGCTCCCGGCGGCGCGCGTGTTCAACGTGTCGTACAACGCGTTCAACGGCAGCCACCCGGTGCTCCCCGGCGCCGTGAACCTCATGGCGTACGACGCGTCCGGCAACGGCTTCGAGGGCCCCGTGGATGCCGCGGCGGTCTGCGCGTCCTCGCCGGGTCGTGCGTCGCGCTGGAGCCGTCCTCGTGCGGTGCCTCGGCGACGCCGTCGTTGGGAAGGAGCGGGAAGGAGCGGGTGGGGGTGGGGGGCAACGACTGGAAGAGATTTGAGGCCCAGAGTAAAATTCTAGCCGGCAGCCCCCCAGGAGGCGAGAGAAATGCCTCCTGGGGAGGCCAACGGCTGGGGATGCCCTAAGGCATCCGGTTGGGTTGTGTTTTTTTTTTTTGGTAGTCAATGACGGGGCGTCTGCCTGAGCATATAGGAATGGTTTGGGGAGCTCGGCTGTGTAAATGCTCTTACGGATTTAATTCTCAGTCATTCGCAAAAACAGGAACTCAGTCACAGCACAAATATCTTAGCTACATCGCCGCGGACCAAGCACAGCCGCGCATGGCATCTACCACCGGAGTGTGAGCAGTGCGTGCACAGTACCCACGAGAAGCACGTGGACTGGTTTCTGACGCGGACGTGCATCATGCCCCTCTTAATTCTGTCTTGGCATGGAGATCTACATATACTCCATACAGAAGGCCAACACTGAGTACACCCATCCCATGGCGATGAACACAGCGCTCCTTCGGTTACTGCCTCTGCTGCTCCTGCTCCTGCCGCCTCCCCTCCGCCATTACCTCTCACCGCCACCGAGTGATCACGGCGGCGCAACCGAGCAGCTCCGAGTCTACCACCCCATAATTCTCTTCCCCGGCTTCAGCTGCCCCAACCTGGAGGTGCGGCTCACCGACGCCTACACGCCGTCGCTGCCACGCTGCGGGGCGCTCAAGGGCAAGGGATGGTTCCCGCTCTGGAAGAACCCCTGGGACCTGCTCCGCCATGACTACGTCCCGTGCTTCGAGGAGCAGATAACCCTCGTCTTCGACCCCACCCTCGACGACTACCGCAACCTCCCCGGCGTCGAGACCCGCGTGCCGGGCTTCGGCTCCGCATACGGATTCACCTCCAAGAATGACGTGTAAGCTTGTAGTTTACTTCCTCGGTTCCCAATTCTAGTGCGTACATCCTTTTAAATAATAATAAAGATATATAAACTTTGCAAAGTTTAGCCAGCGTTACATAGAAAAATATCGACCCTAAAAATGCCTAATAAATAAGGAAAACTCTTGGCTTCTACCGGCGGATCTCACGCGAGCATCCGCCGGCTCGTCCGTATGACACGTGTCCCCTGTGAGCGGTCTTTTCTCTTTCTTTCGGTCAACCTGGCCACTGCTCGCTGCTCGCTGCTTAATTCCCACTACGATGAGTTTCCACAGCAAAGCCTCTGTTGCAGTAAAAACTACAACAAGACCTCTGTTTCAGAAAAAATAAATTTACAGCGAGACCTTTGTTGCAAAAAAAAAACTAAATTGCAACAAGACCTCTATTGAAAAAAAATGAGACAAGACCTCTGTTGCAAAAAAACTAAATTGCAACAAGACCTCTCTTGCAAAAAAAAAATCTTGCAAAAATTTCTACAACATGACTCGTGTTGCAGAAATTTCCGGCAACATGACCTATGTTGCAATGATAAAAGGGTGACGTTCAGTCGCTCAATTGTCGGATCCGATGCAATTTCTTTTTTGAAACAAGGCCTCTATTGCCAGAAAAACTGTAACAGAGCTTTTGTTGCAAAAATAATTATTTTCCAACAGGCCTCTTGCAAAAAAAAAAAATCTGCAACTTGACCTTTGTTTGCAAAAATTCCCGTAACATGATCCGTGTTGCAGGAGTTTTCTGCAACACCACCTGTGTTGTAGTAATAGAGGATGACGCTCAGTCACTAAATCTGCCTGATCCCACGGCTCGCGAAGCGGCGGATCTTTTTAAAAGATCCGCCGGCCGACGCGTAGCGTTGCCCAATAAATAAAGTGGTACTAAAGTTGAAGTACTTATTTTGTTACTGAGGGAGTGTAACAGAAAACTATGTTTCACGATGTAGCTCATGGTATTCAATTAGATCTCATATTTTTCTCTATAATTTTGGTCAAGCTTTACATATCATGACTTGCACCCTATTCTAGATCAGTCTATTGGCACTTACTGCATTATGTTTGCCATGTCCAGGCATAACATGTTTTGTATGATAAGGCTCCGTGAAGAACTGGAAGTACTAGGATATCGTGACAAAGATACTCTTTTTGGAGCTCCGTACGATCTACGTCATGCTCCACCACCGCTCGGCCAGCCATCTCAGGTGTACTCCGACTACTTTGCTCGTGTCAAGGATCTGGTGCAACATGCAAGTGGGAAGAACGGGAACAAGCCGGTCATCCTCATTGGTCATAGCTTCGGCGGCAGGGTCATCCTCGATTTCCTCAACTCAACTTCCCTGTCATGGAGGCAAAACCTCATCAAGCATATAATTGTCATCTCGCCCACACCTTCTACGGGCTTCACCCAGGTAGTCACCAACCTCGCATCCGGACCGGATGTTATTGGTGTTCCAACCGTTCCATCGCTTGCTTTGCGGCCAATGTGGAGGGCCTTCGCGAGTTCCCTTCTGTCCCTGCCATCTCCCGCTGTTTTTGGTCACAAGCCGCTCATAATCACCAAAAACAGGAACTACTCAGCATACGACTACCCGCATTTTCTCGCGGCACTCGGTTTCGGTACAGACGAAGTTGTGCCCTTCATGAAACGGGTGCTTCCGACGATGCTGAGGATTGACGCGCCAATGGTACCAACCACATACCTCAATGGGGTCGGCATACAAACCATGGAGCAGGTGGTATACTGGGAAGGTAACTTTGACATCGCCCCTGAGATCGTACATGGCGATGGAGATGGGTGCATCAATTTGATTAGCGTATTGGCGTTTGCCAAGGAGCTACATAGACAGCAACAGCGGAATAACATACCCTTCAAGTTCATCAAGATTGATCATGTCACACACTATGATATTGTTAGCCGGGAGCATTCGCTTAGAATAATTATGACTGAACTTCTAGAAGCAAATTGTTGAGGAGTCAAGACAACATCCGCAGAATAACATACACTTCAAGTTCATCAAGACTGATCATGACACACATTTCGATACTGTTACTGTTACTGGGGAACAAACACTCAGGAGTTATGACTGTAATTCTAGAAGTGAACCCCTCAAGAGACATCATGTGTTTTTCTTTCATATTGTACTCAATAGATATTGTGGTGACGAAATCACACTGAGCGAATGTCCGACGCTACATGACACAATGCATACAACCAAGCGTGTTCATCGGAACCAAAATAAAATATCATTTTACATCAATAATAATAAAAAATACAGCTGTCCCGGTGAATAAAATATCTCGCAAGCAAAATAAATAAAAGGCTGATTTTATTACTCGGTGGCTTCTGGGTCTTGTATTGGATTGGGAAATGGGTGTGGAAAGTGGTGGAAGCGTTCCTACTCTCCATACAGGGAGAGCCGCGTGATATATATTGATATGGAGCGAGAGGCGTCTCGTGGCGTTACAGGATGCGATCGTGGACTAACGATCGAGAGATACAATCGGGAGAAGAGATAGAAAGATAAGAGGAAGTTAAAACAAACTCTATCTCTAACTACCAAAGATAAACATGACCCATATAGCCAACGTGACATGATGTTTAACACTCCCCCATAATCAAAACCGAACTAGGTTGAGATTACGCCGAAAATCTTCAAAGCTTCTGGTTGGTAGCGCCTTTGTAAGCCCATCTGCAATTTGATCCTTGGATGAAATGAATCTGATCTCTAATTCTTTGTTAGCAACTCGTTCCCTGACAAAGTGAAAATCTATCTCGATGTGTTTGGTCCTGGCATGGAAAACTGGGTTAGCAGACAGATAAGTTGCACCAAGGTTATCGCACCAAAGACAAGGTGTTGGGGTTTTCAGTATTCCCAACTCCTTTAGTATTGCTTGGATCCAAATGACTTCAGCTGTGGCATTAGCCAAGGCTTTGTATTCTGCTTCAGTGCTCGACCTGGAAACAGTAGCTTGTTTCTTTGCACACCAAGAGACTAGATTTGGGCCATGAAAGATGGCAAAGCCCCCGGTGGACCTTCTATCATCCAAGCAGCCAGCCCAATCCGCATCAGAGAAAGCACTAATGCCCATGGAGGATGATCTGTTGATGGAAAGACCCATATTGACAGTGTTCTTGACATACCATAAGATGTGTTTTGCTGCTGTCCAGTGAGCTGTGGTAGGTGCATGCAAGAACTGGCAGACCTTGTTGACTGCAAATGAGATGTCAGGACGAGTAAGTGTTAAGTATTGAAGTGCACCAACTATACTTCTGTAACTGGTGCTGTCATCCTGATTCAGGAGTGTCCCCTCTGTGAGAGACAAGGTATCTGAACTTGACAGAGGGGTCGGTGACGGCTTGCAATCCTGCATGCCAACTCTGCTCAACAAGTCCGTGACATATTTTCCTTGAGAAAGATGAATGCCATGATCAGTTTTCTTAAATTCAATGCCTAGAAAATAGTGCAAGTCTCCCAAATCTTTGAGAGCAAATTCTGATCTAAGATCACTGAGCAAGGCTGTAATTGCTTCATTGGACGAGCTAGTCACAATTATATCATCAACATATATAAGAACGAAGATGGCAGTTTGAAACTTGTTGTAAATAAACAGAGAAGTGTCAGACTTTGATGGAACAAACCCAAGTGCTTGCAACTTCATACTCAACCTGGAATACCAAGCTCTGGGGGCTTGCTTGAGTCCATACAGGGCCTTGTCAAGCTTACAAACATGGAAGGGTGCATTGGGATCTGTAAACCCAGGAGGTTGTTTCATATACACCTCTTCTTCCAGAACACCATGAAGAAACGCGTTCTGTACGTCTAGCTGGCGAAGACTCCATCCCCCGGAAACAGCAAGAGAGAGCACAAGACGAATAGTTGCTTCTTTGACAACTGGACTGAACGTGTCCTCATAATCAATACCTGTTGGGGAACGTAGTAATTTCAAAAAATTTCCTACGCACACGCAAGATCATGGTGATGATATAGCAACGAGGGGAGAGTGTTGTCTACGTACCCTTGTAGACCGAAGCGGAAGCATTGACGCAACGTAGAGGAAGTAGTCGTACGTCCTCCGGTTCAACCGATCCAAGTACCGTTACTCCGGCACCTCCGAGTTCTTGACACGCGTACAGCTCGATGACGCACCCTCGATCTCCGATCCAGCAGAGGCGCCGAGGGGGAGTTCCGTCAGCACGACGGCGTGGTGACGATCTTGATGTTCTCCTGTTGCAGGGCTTCGCCTAAGCACCGCTACAATATGACCGAGGTGTAATATCGTGGAGGGGGGCACCGCACACGGCTAAGGAACGATCAATGATCAACTTGTGTGTTCTAGGGTGCCCCCCTACCCCCGTATATAAAGGAGGGAGGGAGGAGGTGGCCGGCCCTAGGGGGGGCGCGCCATGAGGAGGGGGAAACCTACTCCAAGTAGGTTTCCCTCTCTTTTCCTTATCTTATTTGGATGGGGAAGGAAAGAGTACTAGTATTAGGAAGTAGTACTAGTAGTAGTAATAGGAAGAGGGGGAAGGAGAAAGGAAAGGGGGGGCCGGCCCCCTTCCCCAATTCGGATTGGGCTTGGGGGGGCGCACCCCCCTCCCTTGCTCCTTCTCTCTTCCTCCTACATGGGCCCAATAAGGCCCATATACCTCCCGGGGGGTTCCGGTAACCTCCCGGGGCTCTAAACTTCTCCGGAACCTTTCCGGTGTCCAAATATATCCGTCCAATATATCAATCTTTATGTCTCGACCATTTCGAGACTCCTCATCATGTCCGTAATCATATCCGGGACTCCGAACAACCTTCGGTACATCAAAATACATAAACTCATAATATAACTGTCATCGAAACCTTAAGCGTGCGGACCCTACGGTTCGAGAACGATGTAGACATGACTGAGACACATCTCTGGTCAATAACCAATAGCAGGACCTGGATGCCCATATTGGTTCCCACATATTCTACGAAGATCTTTATCGGTCAAACCGCATAACAACATACGTTGTTCCCTTTGTCATCGGTATGTTACTTGTCCGAGATTCGATCGTCGGTATCCAATACCTAGTTCAATCTCGTTATCGACAAGTCTCTTTACTCGTTCTGTAATACTTCATCTTATAACTAACTCATTAGTTACATGCTTGCAAGGCTTAGGTGATGAGTATTGCCGAGAGGGCCCAGAGATACCTCTCCGACAATCGGAGTGACAAAACCTAATCTCGAATTATGCTAACTCAACATGTACCTTCGGAGACACCTGTAGTACTCCTTTATAATCACCCAGTTACGTTGTGACGTTTGGTAGTACCCAAAGTGTTCCTCCGGTAAACGGGAGTTACGCAATTCTCATAGTTACAGGAACATGTATAAGTCATGAAGGAAGCAATAGCAGAATACTAAACGATCAAGTGCTAAGCTAACGGGATGGGTCATGTCAATCACCTCATTCTCCTAATGATGTGATCCCATTAATCAAATGACAACACATGTCAATGGTTAGGAAACATAACCATCTTTGATTAATGAGCTAGTCAAGTAGAGGCATACTAGTGACTATATGTTTGTCTATGTATTCACACATGTATCATGTTTCCGGTTAATACAATTCTAGCATGAATAATAAACATTTATCATGATATGAGGAAATAAATAATAACTTTATTATTGCCTCTAGGGCATATTTCCTCCAGTCTCCCACTTGCACTAGAGTCAATAATCTAGATTACATAGTAATGATTCTAACACCCATGGAGTCTTGGTGCTGATCATGTTTTGCTCGTGAGAGAGGCTTAGTCAACGGGTCTGCAACATTCAGATCCGTATGTATCTTGCAAATCTCTATGTCTCCCACTTGGACTTGGTCCCGAATGGAATTGAAGCGTCTCTTGATGTGTTTGGTCCTCTTGTGAAATCTGGATTCTTTTGCCAAGGCAATTGCACCAGTATTGTCACAGAAGATCTTCATTGGTCCCGATGCACTAGGTATGACACCTAGATCGGAAATGAACTCCTTCATCCAGACTCCTTCATTTGCTGCTTCAGAAGCAGCTATGTACTCCGCTTCACATGTAGATCTTGCCACGACGCTTTGTTTAGAACTGCACCAACTTACAGCTCCACCATTTAATAAAAACACGTATCCGGTCTGCGATTTAGAATCGTCCGGATCAGTGTCAAAGCTTGCATCGACGTAACCATTTACGACTAGCTCTTTGTCACCTCCATATACGAGAAACATATCCTTAGTCCTTTTCAGGTATTTCAGGATGTTCTTGACCGCTGTCCAGTGATCCACTCCTGGATTACTTTGGTACCTACCTGCCAAGCTTATTGCTAAGCATACGTCAGGTCTGGTACACAGCATTGCATACATGATAGAGCCTATGGCTGAAGCATAGGGAACATCTTTCATTTTCTCTCTATCTTCTGCTGTGGTCGGGCATTGAGTTTGACTCAACTTCACACCTTGTAGCACAGGCAAGAATCCTTTCTTTGCCTGATCCATTTTGAACTTTTTCAAAATTTTGTCAAGGTATGTACTTTGTGAAAGTCCTATTAAGCGTCTTGATCTATCTCTATAGATCTTGATGCCCAATATGTAAGCAGCTTCACCGAGGTCTTTCATAGAAAAACTTTTATTCAAGTATCCCTTTATGCTATCCAGAAATTCTATATCATTTCCAATTAATAATATGTCATCAACATATAAAACTAGAAATGCTACAGAGCTCCCACTCACTTTCTTGTAAATACAGGCTTCTCCAAAAGTCTGTATAAAACCATATGCTTTGATCACACTATCAAAACGTTTATTTCAACTCTGAGATGCTTGCACCAGTCCATAAATGGAACGTTGGAGCTTGCACACTTTGTCAGCACCTTTTGGATCAACAAAACCTTCAGGTTGCATCATATACAACTCTTCTTCTAGAAATCCATTCAAGAATGCAGTCTTGACATCCATTTGCCAA